ATGACCTGAAATAAGTAAAATGCACGGGAATGCGCAGGTTGAGCAACTCTGAGACTGCCAATGATGGGCAAATCACTACAACGTCCAGTGATGCTCGTGTTTGACAGTTAAATTGTGCACGTTTGGCAGTTTAGCAGTTGACTGGCACCTGAAAGTTTATGCCACTTCGAGTGCTGCCACTGGTGCCCCTCCAACCCGAAAGAGTGGTGATCTCATGGCGTGTCATGCGCAATTCAGTTGCAGTTGCTTGTGTGCCGTGTCTTGAGATATCCAGTCTACACAGACGAAACAGTCAGAGTTCTTGTTATCATAGCTTTGCCAACCACATCCAACCACTTTCGCTGAGAGATCACTCGTGCTCTCAAACAACTCATATTCCCTCACTCTGTTCTCGGCCACAGTGTTCCGGTAATCTCACAGTTTTGCCCTAGAAAGGTGGAGACAGGAACAGTTTATATTTCACTCGGCCAATAGTTTAGCTTGTTCATGAGCCGGAAGGGCATGTCAAACTCTGGAAGGGAAATGTCCGGCTGGTGCAAAAGCTCTGTCCGGTTTACACAACATCTTACACAAATGCAGCAAAGATGATTCTTCACTCAGGCCACCAGGGAAGGCCAAGCTCATACCAAATCGGTGTGCAACTCAAAGGCCGCAAAAGCTCAAGCAAAGTATGATAACTGAAAGTGCTCGTGTGCGACGTGAAGCAAATCTTCCCCTTCTGCAAGACCCCATTTGACTTGGTGTCGACCGGTTTGAGCGCTTGCCTTTTGATCTATAGACACCACTCGCACCCAAGACTTTTTGCAAGCATCGCCTGTCCACATAAAAGATGGCTTTGTTATAGTTCACGGTTTGATCCATGGATACACGTAGAGCCTCCAGCCCAAAGACCTTCGGCCCGAGCTTCATGTACTTCGAAGGCGGAACCATGCAGCACGTCGTCATTTGGTTTCGGTGTTGTTTTTGTCCTTATCTTGGAACGCGCACGTGCGATACTCCAGCCCTGCTTTTCGCGATTTTGCTGTAGCTTTGGCCTGCAAGTTGATGCTTTTCATCTTCAGATTCTGCTTGAGAAAAGTGCTGAAGAGCTAAGACCTGGAAAAAAGCTTTACTTAAAGTGCTTGAGCTTGACCTCATCTGACCTCATGACACCTCATCATGCTTGAGTTCACTCCTTTGTTTGGTTTGGCACAAGCCACAAGTAGACTGCTTTGGAACCGTCACCTCAATGCAAGGCCTAGGTGGTGGCCTTGGACGAACATGCACGCACATGCTCAATTGTGACGCAATCATGCTCAGTTCGGCCGTTTCTTATTCGCTTAGTTTCTAGACAACTGTTTGATGCAGCCATCCACAGTACTTGCTGCAGAAATGATCGAATTGGCGTGCTTAGTTGATTCAACTGATTTCATCACGTTAATCTCCACAGCAAATCTTCTTCGCCCCAGCTTGTCGAGCAAGTTGTGCAGCGGGAGACCTCTATATAGTCCGTGCTTTGCCCTGATTGCAACCCGAGTCGAGCGCACAAGGGTTCTCATATGTGTTCCGACTGCACTTCAGACTCAGCCAAGCTTAGGCCTTGCTTTGGATCCATCAAACCAAGCTGTAATGATGCTGATACTGTGTGTGCTGACGCTCTGAAGCAAGTCCCCGACAGAGCCAAGTTGTCTAGGCTCAGAGTCGAGTGGTTTCCAAATGCTGTCCAGTTTCTGGCCAGTGCGGTCAAAGTATTGAAGAGTTGCATTCAATGCAACACTTCATTTGCAAGTCGGCATGCTTGGTCGTGACCTCCGTCTGCCTGTGACCAAGCTCAACCGAGCCTCGGTTGGCGCTTGGATTCAGCAGATTCAAGAGTCCATTTTGCACCTTCTGAGCATGAATTCCGCTCAAACTCAGATGATGTTTCCGCATTTGAACAGAGGCAACCTATTGCCTATTGATACGAATCGCAAGGATTCCCTGGCAGGCCTTGGCAAGTCCAATCACCAGATTCGACTGTCCTTGGTCGGAGTCAAAGCTATTTAAGAGAGTCCAAGCAGCTGGAGATGGCCCAATCCACCTTCACCGCAGCTAGGGTGTAGCAGCGTAGCAGTCTTGGCTGAGCATGCTGAGCTTCCATTCCATTTGTGCATCTCATCAAGATATTGGCTGCGGCTCTTGGGGTGCCATCTACTCTCAATCCACTATACATAAATCCATGATGGATTGAAAATCATGCCCGAGTTCTCTGCAGCAGTTCCTGCAGACTTGTGCTTGCACCTTGGTTAGCATCAGGTTTCTTACACTTGATCGACGTGAAACGCACAGATTCGAGCCCAAGAACCCAAACACCGGCTCCGAAGCTGAGGCCTTTCTAAATGCAAGCTTGTGCAGCTTACGCGCTGGAAACATATTTTTTTATAGTAGTTCATTAGCTAAATGGCTCAGGATCCCACGCAACGCTGCTGCTTTGAACTCGTGACGGCAGGCTCCAGCCGAAATGTGCCTTTCCGTAAGATGAAGTTGAAGTAGCTCGACAGCTGCAGCTTTACACTTGTCGCAAAAATCATTTTTCTTCAACTCGTTCGGTCCGATAGTTTCCAACTCCGCCGGCATAGAGCAGAATGATCAGATGACCAGAGTGAACGCTCAGGAATAAGGTAGCAAGACACATGTCAAAATATACACTGAAATCACTGCCAAGAAAAGACTTGTAGATATTTGCCACGAAGGATTCCTGCAACGAACGACTTCAATGGAGCGTGAGGTCCTGAAAGTGCGATTGATGTGCCTTCCGCAGTTTACACCTACAATGCGTTGCTCAACAAAATGAAGACGGTGTATCAACAATATGAAGGCGGTTGCGTTTGGCCGTCAAGGTACTTTTGAGTGACACCCAATGTTGTGCAGAATGCTTTTGTAGGGATCCTTCAAGCGCTAGAGGTGCATGCTGGGACAGCTGCATTGACCGCATTGACTCAGTCTGCGCAAAAGCGACCGCAAGTGTTTTTTTGACAGCTTGAAGTTATACCAAGGCTGCAAACGGCTTGGAAAAGGATGACAGAAGCTGTTTCGAAGCAGCCTTAGGAATGACAAACCAACGGCAGGATTCCTCCCGGCTGCAACCTTACCCTTGGATGCAGATCAACGATTGTAGATACAAAGCGGGTGGGTCTGTAAGCTGTACGAACATTGGCAGGTACGACCAAACTGCCATCCGATAAAATCATGAAATCCTAGAAGACACTTCGCTAAGAAAGACCTATGATGGATTTCAGGGGATGGTGGGCACGGACCGGGCTGTGACTCACACCATACAATCTCAGCTCGATGCATTCCAAAACGAATCAGAGCATTCCAGATTTGTGATTGCCAGACAGAAGCTGAATCACATGCATCGCATCTCATTTATTCCAATCGAAGTACTTCTATCTCAAAGGAGTTCGCAGTCCCCACTGCAAGCTCTATTCAATGCAACGGACCCTTTCAGAATCGGAGGCGTTAGCTGTTGGATCACCATTGTTGCTGCACACCACTCCAACAAACAGACCAGGCCAAAGTGAGCTTGGGTGTTTGTTTGGGTCTTCGGTTGGGTCCACAGCAGCAGCCCGGCTGTTTCCTACAAAGCATGCCGAAGCTGACTCAATCCCTGTTCTCTTCAATCGTTAGCCTTTGTGCATGGGGCAGGCGCAGTGCCAAGGTCAGCCAATTTTGGGCTACGCGCTGGCTAGGCGTAAGCATTTCAGTTGATGCAACATTCTGAGCTTAGATTGTGTTCCTGCTGTCCAAACTACGCACAAGAGCGAGCCACCTCGCTTGATCAGTATGTTTGAGCTTCAACCTCACCATGCGAAAGTACTGCAAACCACAAGGATGGCTCCATGTACAGTCTGAGTTTGCGGACGTGCGCCTTGGTTGTGATTATCGTGATTGGCAAACATAGCTTTTCTTCTTGTTTTCAGGGCCAGGGTCCACGCCCGCTTGCAGCCATGTAGATTTGAATCGTTTTCAAGCTTGGGATCATCCTGCGCTCCTCCCAAAAGATGTCCAAATCAGAAAGCCTGAAGCTTCCTTGAGACTTTTTCCATTTCCCTCTCCTCCCTCCCTCCCTTTCTCCTTTTGTTCTGTTGGGTTGTTTTTGGCTTGTTCCTCGGAGCCATGGCACTCCTACCATATTGGCAGGTGCATTCTGTTCATGACCATTAAGGCTCAAAGTACACCAGATCTAAAAAGAGACACGTGCACTCACCGTGCATACGTGGTCGCCACTGAAAGTGTAGCAGAGCAGTGATCAGTGAATTGGTTTGAACCTGGAAAGTCCAGATGAGCTCCTCAAAAACTGGGATGAGTCAAGTGTTGATTTGGCTTATGATGCCTTCGCAGTCAATAGACATGCAAGAAGAGAGCCAGGAGTCAAAGCTATGACAAGTGATCACAATGCCCCCGAGCTTGCTGATGGAACGCAATCTCCTATGAGAGTTCTATAGACGACGGGTGCGTAGATCATACTGTACCACCTGCAAAAGGAGCATGAAACCACACTTGCGCGAAGGATACTGGTGCAAAAATGCAAGAGATAACAACCTGGTGTGTGAAAAAAGACAGAGAAGAAGACAGAGAACAGCCAGAGGAACATTTGTGGTAAAAAAGATATGTGCTGTGAATCTAGCATGGTGCATGGCAGTGGAAGCACTCTAGAAGCCTAAGCTAGCTGCAGCTGTCCTCGCGTCGGTCCCTCACTTCACTCCCGCAGGGCGCCCTTTTTGGCACAAAACCGGTGCCGTCGAACCGCGTCGCCACGCGTCGGCTTTTGATGGTAGGCGGAGCCCGTCCGTGACGGGTCTCTGCCTGGCGCACCTCACTGCGCTTCCGGCGCGCCCCTTGCGCGCTGCTGCTGGCGCCGCTGGCAGCTGCTGCTCCTCGCCTGCGGCCTTTGGCGGCCGCTCGCTTCTGAGATCCCGCCCCGGCCGGGCCGGATCTCCCACGCTTGCACTAGCCGCAGTCAACGGCGACCCGGAAAAATGGAGCACAGCAAGATCAAGACCAAGGACTCCGAAGGCAATCCCACCGACAAAGGACTGAAGGCACTCTTGGAGACGCTCAAGGGAGCGATCGCTGTTGTCAAGCTCGTGAAGATCAATGAGCTGTCCATCACCGCCTTCTACAGCCCTCAGGTGTGGAGACGATCCCAAGAATCGATGCGGCAATACATCATTCGCCGAACAAGACTTCAGACGGCTAGAAGAGGTTGGCAGTGGTCTTAGCCAGCAGGAGCTAGTGTCGGTCCTCCGCTTGGTGAACAATGACTACGACTTCGAGAAGATCGCCAATGCGATGAGGATCCAATTCCCTCAGGCATCAGGCAAGCCAGTTCACCGGCGAGACCTACTTGCTTGTGGCCGCACTCCAGCTGCACGAGAGTCTTCCGTCGGAGCTACAAGCTGGGCAAGGGTCGTGGCCAACCTCAACATGTCCTCACCTCCGAGACAGACCTCGAGAGCTATGGTGACGCCTTTGAGTACTATGACGATGAGGCCTACATGGAGGATGAAGATGAGGAGTATGAAGCACCGACCTTCGATGGTGAGGCCTTCTGGGAAGATGGTGGATTGGAGGCACTCGCACAAGACCTCCATGAATCAGAAGGCAATGAAGAGGTGGCCGAAGCCCTCGCTATTGTCATGCAGTTCAAGAAGGGCAAGAGCAAAGGTAAGGGCAAGACAGGAAAGGCTTCCGAGCTTCAGGTGACATCTCCTTCGATGCCAAGGCCAAGGAACAGCGCAACACCGCTGTCAAGTTCTTGAAGTTTGTCGCCGCTTGCGCAAGCTGTGGCCAGAAAGGCCATTGGGTTGGCGATGAGGCGTGCCCCAACACCATGCAAGAAGAAGAAGATGTCTTCGCGCAGGCCCGCACTCTCACCTCCGAAGAAGAAGAATGATAGCAAGACGACCTTCTTTGTCTTGCGCGAAGGCATCGAGTCCGACGATGGGAAGGAGATCAACGCCACCTTTGCCCTTCCTGTGAATGACCAGTACGCTGCCTATGGTCAAGTCTACTGACTTTGACCAGGTGCCATCGAATGCCTCCTTTTCTGAGAATATGCAAGTCTCTGCGGGCCTGTGGGTGAGGAGGTCACTGCATGAGGATGCGCCGGGCAATGCTTTGGATGAGCCCAATGATGTCGAGCAAAAGCGAGTGATTGCTCCCACTGGATCTGTGAGCATCTTGCCACACTACATCGACGACGAGCGCAACTACAAGGACATTGGATCTGCACCTGGAGCAAGTTTCACTATGCATGTTTCTCCAAAGCCAGCGCGTGAAGTGCTGATGGTGCTGAAGGACACCCAGGTCTGTGAGCACGGCTCATACTTCGGTGGCATTGAACGTGAGTTCCACCGGGGCGCAAATGGCCATACAAGACACGCGACCTGCAAGGACCAGGATTGCAACAAGACCATCATCGTGGCTAAGCGCAAGGACGCCTCCCAACTCTGGCGCTACCTGGTCCAGATCGCACTACGCACAAAGTGGGGCAGGCAAGATCTCGTGAGCTCTTCGCAAATGTCTGCAAGGCACGAGACAAGGCACTTGCCGATGATGAGGAGCGACGAGCATTCCACGAGGCTATCCACGACAGCCCGGATCCCCTATAGCACTGCCAGCTGGGACCAAGTGAGCCGATCCAAGGATGGTTCATCGCCTTCATCGACCACTGCAAGGATCGTTCGACCAGGTGCAACTCCCGAGCCACGCTTTTGGGCATACGGTCTCACCGTCAGTTGAGCTGCCTATGTTTCCTCCCTTGGCCAAGGATCCAGCAACCACTTCTTGGTGATGCTTCTATCTTTGTTCCTGGAACGCCATATGAAGGGTTCGACTGTGGACAATCTATGCATCCATTGCCTCATCAACTGAGGCCAGTTTGTTCTGCCACCAGACCATGAAGATGGCGCTTGAGGATCAACCCATAGCACCGGAAACCTACCGCTTCGCCTTCTACCTGTTTGACAGGGCGTGGTTCCTTCACAGCTCGACCATGAGGTTGTGGAAAGGCAGTACAACTTCCGGCCCAAAGAGAGCGTCCAACCCTGATGAAATGGTGGCGCAACGGCGCGTGCGTGTCCCCATCTCGCTTCAGGATGGTCATCCCGAGATGGTTCAACTCCACGACTTCGAAGTCCTCATGGCTTTCGAGAATCTCAGTCCGAGATTGCGAACGCTTGGACATGGAGACCACCTATTATGCATCAAGCGCCCAGAATCCTCCTGGCCTGGCTATACTTGACTCAGGTTGCGCAAGAACTATAGTGCACGGTGCCGATTGGGCTGTCGCATTTGAAGCCGAACTGGAGAAGCTTGGCCTCTCATCTTAGAGGCGCCTCAAGAAGCAGTCGTTCAAGGGCGTCGGAGGTCAGATCACTAGCGACACTGTCAAGATCTTCCCAGTTGGCGCCAGCAAGGTCAATGGTGAGGATCACCATGGAGCTAGAAGCGCCTGGTGGTCTGCCATTGCTCCTCTCTCGACCTTTCATGGAGGAGCTTCAGACCGTCATTGACATTGGCGCCCGCACCGTGAGCTTCAACAAGATCGGTGTCTCAGGACTTCCTTTGGTCCGCACGTCCCGAGGCCATCTAGAAGTGAGCCTGTTGGATTTTGACATGGACTCCATCCAGGACCAGTCCCCTGAGCACAAGAGCAACGACCATGACAAGTCGATGGCTCAGGACATCGCTCCAAGATCCCCGACACAGTCAGAGCTGGACTATTGCATCGGCCCTGACATGTTCCATGACTATGACGGGATGAACCCCGGTGACTACCACGATGAGACGATGGCACGTGAGTTGTTTCTTGATGAAGCCCGAGCAATTCGTGACGCCTATGAACGTGATCTACGAGGATCTGAATCTGCGGCACCTGCACCAGGTGAGCGTGGGCTGATCTGTGAAGATGTGAACTTCATCGACGACAACCCCGATCAGTTCATCGTCTGAAAGGCCACGAACATTGAGTCTTGGGACAACGCATTACATGGCCAAGACTGGCATCACCGACAGGTCATCTCCGGTAGCTTCAAGAAGGTGTCCACGTTGCCGGTCTATGGCAAGACCTGGATGAAGCAGCTCTTCGCTGGTCAGATGGGCCTATCTCTTTTGGCCATCATGGCGGGTCTCTCCGTCGGTATTATTTTGGATTCATCCTCTTCTACATTTCGCCAAGGGTTACAAGCGTGTATGCCATGACCTTCTTGTGGAGGACCCCTACTTGACCGTCATCACACAGGCATGTGGTTTTTGGTGGGGAAATTGGAGCCTCTTCAACTTGGCCCGTGGTGGACACGCTGCTGTGACCATCATGGATCTCCGAGAAGCCAACAAGCCCACGCTGTCTCTCGTCAACAAGATCACAAAAGACCGTATCAAAGCAAAGAGGCATACATGGGTCAAGCAGCCTGAGTGTGCCGACATCCTCAATTTCATCGAGGACAGCATCCTCCTGGTTCTCCGAGTGGACGGCTGCCAAGTTGGATACAAAGATGCTGAGAGCGGACTTCTCAACAAGAAGCCTTCGCTCTATGTCACCACCCTCTTAGCAGCTGAGAGCGTGTTTGCTGGACGTCTTTGTGCGATGGCCCTCACCAACATGAACACTTAGAGGGCCACAACAAGTATGGCTCGAGAACAGCGCAGGCCTCTGTCTGGCCTCATACTTTGAATGAGATGGTTTTGCAAGCTATGGTTCAACAAGCCTCAGCCGAAGCGACTGCCACCTACAACACTGCAGAAGCCTTTCCTTCGGAAGTACGCCCCGCTGAAGGTCCACCTGGTGAGCGTGAATCAAAGAGAAGAAGAAAGAAGGGAAGAGTCGCGCAGCTTGTTGGCCAGTATGCTGCCCCACCGGTCTATGTCCGACCTGATCAACCTGCGCTGGCACTACCAGATACCAATCTCCCTGAAGAAGACCAAGAGGCCGAACCCGCAGTGCCTCCATTGGATGATGCCTCCTTTCGAGCTTTGCAAGCGGCAGAGCTGGATCCCATCCTCAACATCACCGAGGGTGATAGAAGACGAAGATGGCTAACCATCTCTCTGGAGATCAGGAAGATCCTTCGAGATCTACATGTCCAGTTTGGCCATCCGACCAACAGCACTCTGCAGAGGATCCTACGTCACCAAGGAGCTATCGGCTCTACAAGGTGCTCATCTTCTACGATGTGATGCTTGTGGAGACAGCATTAGACGCCGGAGGCCAAAACCTGTCCGACTGCCCACCAGTTGAAACACTTGCAGATTGACGTGTTCCACGCCCGCGATGTCGCTGTATCTTCTTTCTCCTTCCTCAACGTCATTGACGATGCGACGGGCTATCAAGTGGTGTCCTTTCTTGGGCAATCTACGGGACCTCCAGCTTCCAAGGCAGTCTTGAGGCATTTCCTCACTTCGTGGAGCTCATGGGCAGGCTTGCCCCAGTCGATCCAATTTGATCGTGGCAAGGAATACCTCGCCTTCTTCAGCGGCTACCTGAACGAATTTGGTGTGGAGCGGGAGATTGTTCCTTTTGAAGCCCCGTGGCAAAAATGGAAAGGTTGAGAGAGCCGGTGCACTCTGGAAGGATGTCTTCTACAAGACCGCCCATGAGATGCAACTTCAAGGGCTCGAAGATGTGATCAGGGCGACCACCATCGTGATTCAATACCGGAACTCATTTCCACGACCCAACGGCTTCTCACCTGATCCGCATTCCTGGTTCACTACTTGATGAAGATGAAGCTCAAAAGTTGGAGTTGCTTGCCACATGACCTGGTTCAAGCTTCGACGCGACCGCAAGGTCTGTAAGTCCGGTGTTTCTATACCGCTATCAAGGTTGGCGTTCCGCGTCGTTCTTTCTACTCACCATCATCCCAGTGTTGGCCAACTGAGGCGCACCATACCCTTCCTCCGGCCCGCCCGGCCAAAACCAAACCCCCGCAATACAGACAGATCAATACAGCATATTTGCGGTGGCGCGTAGAAGTCAGGAGGGAAACGTCGTCGCAATCCTCCAAGAGCGGGCAGAATACGCGGTTTACTTTGCGCGATGCGTCGACGCCCAGCTTTTTTGCGCAAGTGTTCGACCTCGCCAATAACTCAGAATACAATTCTAGTGAAATTCCCCGCGCGCTGAACAACGCCGTGGTGATGGATAAGAACAAATCGGGCGTTATTCTGGTGTTGAAAGCATATGGAGCGGGCGGAAAGATCACCATTGGCTGTGAATCTCGCTCGCTCGCTCGCTGGCTTGCTTGCTTGCCTCTCATTCATTTCCTTTCTCATACTGGAGCTGGTTTGCTTTTTCCCTGGAGGTGGATTGCCATTATATAAGATAACCTTACATGGCACTTGGGCCGTGGCAGCAGGATTTCACAAGGATTTTGAATATCCATTCTTTTCCTACCGACCAAGTTTTTAGAAATATTCGTGTTTATGAAATCCTCATGGTGGCTCTACTGGTGTATGACCTGGTCTTTAGGAATTCACACAGCAAACATATCCACATACTCTAACAAGCTGGTACACCTACAGGAAAAGTAGTTAGATTCGAGACAAAAGATCGCAGCCCAGCATAAAGACGGAAGTCTTGTTGCGGGTCTGTCACGACCAAGAATCTCACCAAACAATGCGTGCAATCTAAGCTTGTGGAACGGTGATTGAATCAGGGAAAGGGGAACCGATACCCGTATGTACTTGAGCCTGACCTGGACCCTTAGAAAATTTGTTTAAAATCATTGCATGTTGTGATCTTCTGTGACGCTGAGATTCAGCACCCCTCCGTCGTGCAGATCTGCAGTTCTACAAGAATATGTTTCGTTTTGGGGTAACAGATGTGGGACATTTATGAAAATTTGTCTGCGCCCTCCAGCGTTGCCCACCGCTCAGGACCGTCTCCACGATCATCAACAAACGAGCAAGTTTTGCATCGGCCTCTGCGTACTGCTGCAGCTCCAAACGACCGCTGCAACTATAAAAAATAACGTTTTCAACCAGCAGGCGCGCACTGCGTCCTTAAAGATGGACCTTGGCCCCCGGCGGCGCAGCAGTTTCACACGACTCCCCCACACTGTCATTGACCGAATGTCACGAGCTGTCTGCTCACCCTCAACATAGAGTGGCAAGGTGGAGCTGGCAAAGTTTTGCTTTGAACCCCTGGCGGGTAAGACCACACCCGCCGGGGGGTCACGCGGCCTCGATGTCACGACTTTGGTCTTGACCATGGCGGCTGGGGCGTAGTCAAGATACAACTACCTCACTCTAAGTTTTGGAAGGCAGAATCGGAAAACGAGACGTCGTCGAAGAGGGCTACCAATAATATTGAGCTTTCGACGAGGGGATCCATTTACCGATCCAGAGGCATAACCCCGCCTATAATATGATATGCACCCAATGTATTATACCGAGAAAGGCTGGGTCAATTAATCCAACGATACCCCGACCTAAGTTCCAATTGCAAGTCACTCGCGCAACCACCATCCCAACACACCCGCCCCCCCAACAACGTGCATCACCTGCTTCTAATCTAGAAGTATCACCCTCCAACCACAACCCCAAGCACTTTTTGCGTGGCGTTCTGCCGGCTATTGAAAGGAGTTGCCTGGGTAAGCCCACAGACCGAGGGGCCAAAAACCCAAGTCTGTGGGTAAGACCACAATGACAAGGACAAAGAACTTTTACACCCTGGGCTTTCGGAAGCGTGCACAGCTGACCTGGCCGCCGACGTGCTGGTAACGGATGGGGTGGTGGAGTGCTTCCACGCGCTCCATGGGCCACAGCCAAGTCCTCTTATATGGAAGCTCTGCAACTAAACTGGCCCCCTCAAGTCTGCGCTGGCCCACTAAACTTTCAAAATGGCTCAGTGATTCACATCGGTAGGGCTGACCGAACAACGCCCACGCATGAATCTTGCCCTTGCTCGCAAGCCAGCATCCTCCTGGTCGTGTTGTTGTGCCTCGCACTTCCAAACATTTTTCACCTGCTTTTACTTTATTGAGCCAATAGTCCTTCAAGACCAGGATCCTGCTGTCATTCTCTTGCGGCCCCAATTCCCAAGTGGTAGGAATCTTCGCAGGCGCCTCCGCCTTGTTCTTCTTCCTTGAAGTCCTAGCCTTCATGGACTTTTTATTGGTCATCCTCTGACTGATGCGCTGCCACTGCTTTGAGCAAAAGAATTGCGCAATTAATTGACTTGTCAAACACTGACAGAGTCAGGAAAAACATGAAACGCCTCAAATATTACAGGTTGGTTGGTCTATGTGAAGGGGGTGGTATAATTCTGACACCGACATTAAGGAATATATCGGACGTATTAAGCCCACACAGACCCTCAACAACCAAACCCAACCCAATACACCCAATACGCTAAACATCGGCAAGAATGTGGCTTCACCAGTGTGCGCATCTATGCGGGGCTTGATGACACCAAAGAAGCCGCGCGCAAAGGATTGGCCAAGGAGCTTCCTCTAGACTATGAGGCTTCTGCAGACAATCGGGTGGCAATGGCCCTCTTGCTGTCGGAGTGGGAAACTTGCCGCACACACCCTGAGGATCCGATATTGAAAAAAATCAATCTTACGATTGATCCAAAAAATTTTTCAATATTATTGAAAATGGTCAAGTTGGAAGCCTCAGAAATCAATATCATGTTCAATATAATATTGATAATGATATTGATCAATATTGATCAATATTGATTGAAAATATTGATTGTGATATTGATCGATATTGATCCCTTGCCTTGGGCTTTTCCTCTGTTGGGCGCATGCTATGCAAGTCAAGAATGGGTGAAACAAATTGCTTTCTTTCAAGCATGCTCCTGCAAGGCTCTCTGGCACCTTTGGCTTTCTTTCAAGCCATCACACCATGTTATTGATCCTGAGCTGCAGGGCCATGGTGTATTTGGTGATGAAAGATTCACTGAGCCTGGCAGCTCTGGTGCCATGTGAGCAGCTGTGGCCCAAAGTGGCTATGTATCCCATGAAGGATTCTTGCTTGTAAGTCCAACAAGTAGCTGGGTTTTGGAATTGTGTCATCAAAGCAATGTGCGCTACAAAATGGCACTTTGGAGTCAAGGTGAACCTGACCTCATCAGCAAAATGGCTGTGCAACCAAATGTATTGCAGCATGCTTTCTTTCAAGCACTGGCTTGCCTTCACACTGTCTTTCATGAAAAGATCGTCCTCTGCAATGAAAGAATAGAATTTTGCCATCTGGTGGCAGCATTCAGCCATGTGGGCATGAGCCTCACACTCATTGGCTTTCTTCCAAGCCACCAATGCCAAAGCAGGTGCCAAATGCCTGATCTCACCTGCATGGCCTTTGAGTTTGGCTGGTTGGGACCATGGTTTTTCATGGTTGGTAAACATGGAAACCACTAGGTTGTTGAACTTCTCTTTGATGCCAAGATCTTTGTACGCTTCTTTAAGCAAGGCCCAGATCTCGGCTGTATTTTTTGACCCGTCCTGTTTCTTGGCACCAGGTGGAAAAGCCCAAGCGTGGAGGACAGACCCTGCCAAATCCTGGCTGTCACTCCCAAGTCCAAGGTGTGCAGCACATCCAAGCACACCCTGTATTCAGGCAAGCCACCAGGGATTGTGAAAAGAGTGTGCTTGGTACAGGGGCTTTCTTTCAAGCCTTCAAAAGATTTCAGGGCCCACCCTGGTTCAGTGGTGAAATCATATGGGTTTTTGCTAGGGTCCTTCTTGTTACAATCGCACAGCCAGCAAAATTTGTGAGAGCTCCAATGGGGAAACCCCAAATGGTTTGCATAATATTCAAGATCCCCCAAGAAATTCCACACCCAAAAGCAAAGCTTTTGTGGTGTAATTGGCTTTCCTGCAAGCCTTTGTAATGCTGGAGGCAAAGCATTGCCTTTCCAATTCACTGCTGGATGCAAGCCATGGAAAAGTGCTGTGAAGCTCCATGCTATGATCTCATGGATTTCACCCCAGGTCTCCTGTGTAGTTGCTGATTTCGGCCACGCAGTGATCAAAAAAGAGCTGTCCATGCTGAGGTTTGCTTGTTTCTCGCTTTGGCTTTCTTGCAAGCCCTGGGGCACATAGAGTGTGGGCCCAAAACTGAAAGTTAAAAGGCTGTCTGTAGAAAATTCCACACCATCTCCATGAAGCCACAAAGGAACAGTTCGATGTTTTTGGCTATCTGTCAAGCCACTGTCCCACAGCCTGGGGTCATTAGGCTTCAGGCCTGTCCAAAAAGCTTCGAGCTTCTGCAAGCCAAACAAAGACGGTGTCAACTTGGGATAGCTTTCAAAAAGCTGCCAGACCAAGAGGTGTGGCGCAACTATGTGACACATAGCCTTTGTCTTTGGGCTCTCTTCTTTGGAGTCTAGAGCTGGCACCTCAATGGACAAAGTCGGGCTTTCTTTCAAGCCTCCATATTTTGACTTCTTTAACTTGTTTTTCAACAATCTGAGGATGTCTCGGTGGCAGTTATTTGGGTGGGCACCAAAGCTACCTAAACCGCTCAGCTCTACAAGCTCTTTGTTTTGCAGCCCATCTGCAGCTGCTGAAGAAGCAAGCTCCTGAAGCCCTGAGCTACTCAGCTTCCCTAAGGACCAAAGCTGCAACAATTTTTTGTTCAAATTTTGGCCTTCTTGCAGGCCCTCGGCTTTCCTTTTCTTACTTGCTTCAATTTCTAGCTGCTGCTTGATCCCTACCATATGGGCCAAAATGGCTGCAGTTGTACATGTGTGTGTCCTTTGCATGCAGC